ATGCCTGGCTATTTTTAGAAATGAGGTCTTGCTCTGGCTCCAGCTGGTCTCAAACCTATGAGCTCAGGCAATCCACCCACTCGGCCTCCCAAGTGAGCCACCATGCCCTGCCAGTACATGACTTTTTAGAATGACAAAACTTAGTTATTAGACACTATGTCTGTCCTGACCAAATTTCATTAGAAAAGCTAGGGTGGGGTTTTCTCTTCTAACACTGTGCAGCTGGTTTACTACTTTTTCTATTTCTATTCATTCACAGATTGTTAATCAGTTCAAGTAAGTGATTAGTTCAAGTATGTTTGAATTCCGTATACCTAGCAAGTACTGATTAATTATTCAATGCCATGTACAGGAAAGGGTAGCTATGCCCTTCTGACCCAGGTTTATATTAAGTTCGTTCTTCTTTTTGTATACTTGGCTTAATAGTTTATGAGAAAAAATTTCATGTTAATTTTAACATATTCGTAACAACTTTTGTTTACTAACACAAGCCAACTATTTCATTAGGTATTCAAAAAGAAGAAAAGTCAGAATATTCTAACACTAAATGAAAAACTGGCTTGTTGGATTTTGAGATGTTATGTAAAACACTTGTATTTATTTCATTTCATTTTATTTTATATATATGTATATATATAGATATATTTTTGAGACAAGAGTCTTATTTTGTCACCCTCGGTAGAGTGCTGTCGCGTCATAGCTCACAGCAACCTCCAGCTCTTAGGCTTATGCGATTCTCTTGCCTCAGCCTCCTGAGTAGCTGGGACTATAGGCGCCTGCCACAACGCCCAGCTATTTTTTTGTTGCAGTTTGGCCAGGGCCAGGGGTTTGAACCTGCCACCCTTGGTATATGAGGCCAGTGCCCTACTCACTGAGCCACAGGTGCCGCTTTATTTTATTTTTTTAAGACAGAGCCTCACTTTGTCACCTTGGTAGGGTGCCCTGGCGTCATAGCTCACAGCAACCCAAACTCTTGGGCTCATGTGATTCTCTTGTCGCAGCCTCCCCAAGTAACTGGGACTACAACAACACCTGGCTATTTTTAGAGATGGGGTCTTGCTCTTGCTTAGGCTTGTCTCGAACCCAGGAGCTCAGGAAGCCCATCTGCCTTGGCCTCTCAAAGTGCTAGGATTACAGGTGTGAGCCACCACACTCAGCCCTGTAAGATACTTTTAAAAATAATTTTGTAGCCAGGCATTATAGGAGGTACCTGTAGTCCCAGCTGCTCAGAAGGCTGAGAGGTAAGAGGATCTTTTGAGCCCAAGAGTTTGAGGTTGCTATGAGCTATGACAATGTGGCACTCTATCCAAGGCAACATTCATTTATTCAAATGAACGAATAATTATAAAAATAACTTGACTTTATGCAAAGTGACTGTAGAATTAACAAGATGTTACTCTACTATACTTACGTCTTGAGAGGAGTATTTGAACTTTTAAACAAGTAAATTAGGAAAGAATTCATTACTCAGAGAATACAGAGCAGACTCTTTAAGATGACCTATTTTGTTTGTGAGAGGCCTCTGAACTACAGGACAGGCTCCTGTAGCAGGGTAATCCCTACCAGGAGTGCAGCTTTGAGTGGTGTTACTCAGCAAGGGCAAGGCTAGGCTTTCTGCCAAAACTAAAAAAAAAGTGTTGAGATTAAAATTTGAAAGAATAAACATACACTGCAACAGCCAACTGGAGGAATACCCAAAAGACCATCAATGAAGAGCTTCAGGCATGCCAAGCAACCAGTGATAATAACCTGGTGTTAATTTCAACGATGACTAGATTGTTGCATTTTAGCTTTAAAAATAAACTATATGTACTTTATCTGAAGTAAGAAGGGGATGGTTTAGAAGGCATCTGTCAAAGTGGAGTTTCAACTGCATTCTCTGGAGAAGATGAATGACCCATAAATAAAAACAGGCTGCGGAGTGGGATGATGATAATGTCCGTATTGAAAATGGAAATGAGCTCAGCACCTGTGGCTCAAGTGGCTAAGGCACCAGCCACATACACCTAAGGTAGCAGGTTCAAATCCAGCCCGGCTCGCCAAATAACAATGACGGCTGCAACCAAAAAATAGCCGGGTGTTGTGGCGGGCACCTGTGGTCCCAGCTATTGGGAGGCTGAGGCAAGAGACTCGCTTGAGCCCAGGAGTTGGAAGTTGCTGTGAGCTGTGATGCCAAAGCACTCTACCCAGGGGGACAGCTTGAGGCTCTGTCTCAAAAAAAAAAATAATAATAATAATAATTTATTCTGTACTTTTCAATCCACTCTGAATTCTGAATTGCTTTTCCCTCCTCCTTCATCATCTTCCATTTCTTGAGTTTTAGGAGTCCAATTACAAACATATAATTAAGTGCAGTTATTGCATAAGTAGTGAAAATAACAT